CCCCCCCCCCCCCCCGCAGTGCACGACTTGGATTCCTGGCGCCAGCAGAAGGTTCTGGAAGGTTGTGAGCCACCCGAGTCGTCTGAGGAGCAGCCATCTATCCAGCCCCACCTCCTTTTAAAAATTTCATTATTATTATTACTATTAGTTTTGTTTTTTTTTGAGACAGAGTCTCACTATGTAGTTCTGGCTGACTTGGAACTCACTATGTAGACCAGGTTGGCCTGGAACTCACAGAAATCCACCTGCTTCTGCCCTCTGAGTGCTGGGATTAAACGGGTGTTCCACCACACTTGGTTTATAAAAGATCTTTAATCCCAACACTCTGGAGGTTGGGGCAGGAAAGTGGAAATTGAACCCAGCCTGGCCTACACGATAAGACTGTGTCTTAAAACAAACAAACAAACAAACAAACAAACAAACAAAAAAAAAACCCGGGGAAATGAAAACTCAGGAAAACGAAAATAAAATCAAATCTCTAAATCTGCTCTCAACCTGACGGTTGGAAAATCCTGCCTTAGCACAGTTGGGGTAAGAAGGTGTGTGTGGTGGTAGTGGCGATAGGGGCACTGAGTTTTTAAAACACCACTAATAACCGCAATTTTCTGTCTTCCTCCTCCCAGGGCTCACATGACCTTGGCAGCTCGCCGGCTTTAGCTCGCCCAGCTCCACACAGAGCCTCAGCCTCCGAGGAACAGCAGTGCGGTACAGGGCCATCTGGAAAAGTGAGGGGCACCAGAGAAGGTCCTTTGCGGGCCAAGCAAAGGCGGGTCTTGCTGGGTGGGTCCTGAGGGTGTTGGAAGTTAAATTTGGTTGGCTCAGTTAAAAGCCAACCAAAATCCTAGGAATCCGTGGAGGAGGAAGCTGCTAACGCCAGAGGGCTCGGGGCTTCTCGCTGGGTAACACTGTCAACTTCTGGCACTTATGCGTTCGATCGTTCCTGATTGGAAAAAGTTATGAAAAGAACTAACTGACCTTCTATCGACCGGCTCCCGGGTCACCTTTGCCTTTAAAGCTGCCCGGTCCCAAGAGCCTGGGGTTCTGCCTCTGGTTGGGGTACCCAGTCTCTGGATCCAAACTCTTGGCTTCGCAGGCACGATCCATGGCTGCGTTGAGATGCACAAGGCTGAGGTGGGCGCTCCTGGGCACGCGTGTGGTGGGCCGTGGCCTCTGTCCACAGGGGGCCAGAGCCAAGGCTGCAATCCCGGCAGCTCTCCGGGCAGAGACTGTGGAGGGTCCTGGAGGAGGTCAGGACCCGCGGCGGCTGCGCAGTCTGGAGGAGCTTCCCGGACCCGGACAGCTACGCCTTTTATCTCAGCTATTCCTCCGAGGCTATATCCTGCGTTTGCACGAACTCCAGGTAACCTGGCAGCGGCACAGCCACCTGGGGCTGGCACTGGGATAGAGAAACTGGATGTGGGAGAGAAGAGGGAACTTAGGTCGCCAGAGTCTGAGGCTCCTGCCAAAAACTGGAAGGGTGTGCAGGGTGCAGACAGACCCTTTGAGCTAAAACAAGCAATGAGTGTCGCTAGCGGTGTGACAGACATAAGTTGGGAGAGGAAAGGGTTGTGTTGGGCGAGAATGGCTCTAAATCGCTATAAATTCAAGGCCTGCCAGTCTACATAGCTAATCCAGGGGAGAGGGGAGGGAAGGAGGCGGGGGGTGGGGGGCGGTGATGAGAATAAACCATTCCCTGCACACCTCTAAACCAAGAAACAAAAGGGCTGAAAAGTTCTCGATTGATTTCAGCTTCTAGAAATTGAGACGCCTGGGGAATGCCTCTGGGCTGGGGACTGAAGCTTTCTAAGAGGGATTTGCACAGGAAGTAATTCTAGCTGGCTTTACAGAAGACTGAGGGAGCTGCACCTTGAATTAATGTAGTTTTGTTCGTTTTTGTTTTGTTAAGACAGTGTTTCCTTAGATAACCTAGGTTGGCTATAACTCTTCTGCCTCAGCCTCCTGAGAGCTGGAATTATGTGTGTGCACCCTCATGCCTGTCTTTGTTAAGGTTTCTATTGCTGCAATGAAACACCATGACCAAAACACAAGTTGGGGAGGAAAGGGTTTATTTGGCTTACACTTCCACATTGCTGTTCATCACCAAAGGAAGTCAGAACAGGAACTCAACCAGGGCAGGATCCCAGAAGCAGGAGCTGATACAGAGGCCGTGGAAGATGCTGCTTACTGGCTTGCATGCCCTGGCTTGCTCAGCCTGCTTTCTCGAGAATGGCCCCACCTACCATGGGGCTGGGTCCTCCTTTCCTCCTAAATGAGAAAATGCCTTACAGCTGGGTCTCATGGAGGCATTTCTTCAACTGAGGCTCCTTGCTATCTGATGACTCTAGCTTGTGTCAAGTTGACACACAAGACCAGCCAGGACAATGCCATATATATATTTTAAATATATATATAAAATATTTACTTTAAGAATTATTTTTATTTCTGTGTATGTGTTTTTGAGTGTGTCTGTCTGTCTGTTGGCAGAAGAGGATCCCTTGGAATTGGGGTTACAGGTAGCTAGTTTATAGTTACTGGGGATGAGTCTCAGGTCCTGTGGAAGAGCAGCAAAGGAACTGACCTGGTGTGCCTTCCCTCTAGCCCCGTGAATGGTCTTTTAAAAGAGTCCAGAGGGCTGCAGTTTTTATTTGTTTGTTTTGTTTTCAAGACGGGGTTTCTCTATAGCTTTGGAGCCTGTCCTGGAACTCACTTGGTAGACCAGGCTGGCCTTGAACTCACAGAGATTCAACTGTCTCTGCTCCCGAGTGCTGGGATTAAAGGCATGTGCCACCACCGCCTGGCTGAGGGCTGCAGTTTTAGGAAAACTCTAAACAGTGATCGTGTGGATCTGAGCTGTCCCATGAGAAATATAATCAATCTTTGCTGCAAGTGCTTGTGGCTGGTGTGATAACAGGAGTGTTGTACATCCGTAAAACCCAGTGACAGCAGTACCGAGGAAGGCTGTGTTTCTACAACTTGCTTTTTGTCTGTTAGAATTGGTTCCTCTTCAAACTGTCTCTGCTGAGATGGAAAACTCCCATAGTTGGGTGTCCTTTGGGTGCGCTCCCAAGTCTTTGTCTGTTTTGTTTAATTCTAACACAATGCTGAAGAATGAACAAGTCGTAAAGAAAAAAGTATATTTTGTTCACAACTTTGGAAACTGAAAGTCCAAATAGGTGGCTCTGTTTAGCTAGCCTCTGATGAAGGTCTTGTTACTGTATGTATCCTGATGAGTGACATCACATGACAGGCCCTTGCTTGTGATGTACAGGAGAGAGGTCATACAGTAAGAAAGGAGGCAAGAGTATGGGAAGAGACCAGCCTTGCTTTTCTTTTTCTTTTTTGTTTTCCTCTGACACCTTCATTTTATTTCCTTTGTTAAATTGTTTTTATTGGGCTATATATTTTTCTCCACTACCCTCTCTTCCCTCCCCTTCTCCCCTCTCCCATGACCTTCATGCTCGCAATTTACTCAGGAGACTTTGTCTTTTTCTCTTTCCTATGTAGATCCATGTAAGTCTCTCTTAGGGTCCTCTTTGTTGTCTAGGTTCTATAGGGTTGTGGATTGTTGGCTGGTTTTTCTTTGCTTTATGTCTAAAAGCCACTTATGAATAAGTACATATGATATTTGTCTTTCTGGGTCTGGATTACCTCACTCTATGATGTTTTCTAGATCCATCTATTTGCCCGCAAATTTCAAGATGTCATTATTTTTTTTCTGATGTGTAGTACACCATTATGTAAATGTATCACATTTTCCATATCCATTCTTCAGTCAAGAGGCATTTAGGTTGTTTCCAGGTTCTGGCTATGACAAACAATGCTGCTATGAACATAGTTGAGCACATGCCCTTGTGGTACGATTGAGCATCCTTTGGATATAGACCCAAAAGTGGTATTGCTGGGTCTTGAGGTAGATTTTTTCCAAGTTTTCTGAAAAATCACCATACTGATTTCCAAAGCCAGCCTTGCTTTTTTATAACAACCTGTTTTTGTAGGAATGGATTCACCCTTGGGAGTCTAGGGTAGTTACAACCCAAACTACTTCCTTTAGGCCTTACCTCAGAGAGGTCCCAGAGCCTTTCGGTGTTGTCACCTTGGGGATCACGCCTTCAGCACACACACACACACACACACACACACACACACACACACACACACACACCTTGGAGGAAGACCATATCCAAACCATAGCATTCCACACCACACCACTCCCAATTTCATTATCACAAGGCAAAATGCATTCATTTGTGCCAGTAGTCCCAAAAGTCTTGTTTGAGCACCAAGTCAAAAGTTTAGGGTCCGGCTGGGCGGTGCTGGCGCACGCCTTTAATCCCAGCACTTGGGGGGCAGAGGCAGGTGGATCTTTGTGAGTTCGAGACCAGCCTGGTCTACAAGAGGTAGTTCCAGGACAGGCTCCAAAGCTACAGAGAAGTGCTGTCTCGAAAAAACAAAAGAAAAAAAAAAAGAAAAAAAAAGTTTAGGGTCTGATCTGCTACTCAAGACAAACCCCTTTCTGCTTTTCCCCAGTAAAGTTACAAAGTGACCTATATCCAAGACAATGGGGAGAGTGAGAGAAGGGGAAACTGGCCAGAGAGAGAGGTCTTGGAGTCCTGTAAAACTGAAACCCATCAGTATAGACATGCCCTAAAGCCCCAAACCCTGCATGCTTTGCATGCTGGGTTGGGATGCCCCTCTGGATCTCCAGCAGCCTTGCTTGCTGCACCCTACCCTTCTCTCCTTGGCCTTTGAAGGAGGACTCTGTGGTGGCTGTGCCCCTCCGGAAAACTCCTGCTTGGCTTCCTAGGCTTGGTTTCTGTTTTTTGTTTGTTTGTTTGTTTTGTTTTGTTTTTTAAGTTACAAGTTTTTTTTTTTTTTTAAATTTATCTCCTTTAGCATGACATGACACGTGTCTGACTCTGTCCTACTATGTGAGTTCCGGGGATCGAACTCAGGTCACCAGGCTTTGCAGCAAGGGTTGTAACCCACTGGGCCAGGTCCCAGAAGGCTTCTTTCTCCTCCTCTCCCTCCTCCTTTCCATCCTCCTCTCCCCCCTTCTCCTTCCTCCTCCTTTTGTCTTTAATCTCTCTGAACCACTGTGGTCCCATAGCTACTGTGCTGTGTGCATCGAACACAAGGCTCCTTGCACTCTGCTGGGATTTTGCTTTGCCCTCTGCGCACCAGTGGCACCGGCTATACATGAGCCCACGAACAGTCGCTGGGTGGCTGCACGCGGAAAGGACGAGCTGAGGTCTAGGGAGGTGGCTGCAGCATTCTACCCCAGAACCTCTGGATCTAAAGTGAGTGGGACAGCCTGAATAATTTGTGGGGTGCCTTGGCTCTTGAGTGCTAATCTCAGCAAGTAGTACTTCAGCCGCCCGTTGCCACATCTCCTTTCACTCTTTACATTTAGCTTCCGTTTCCACATTTTCACTGTCACCCCCCCCTCAAGTACACACACCCTTAAGAAGTGCTAGGAAATGAAACCTGGATTTTCTGCAGCCCAGAGAAAGTCTTTTTTCCTCTCTCTCCATTGTTTGAGCTGTATGAGCTCTAAAAAAAAAAAAAGGAAAAACAAACCAACAAACCCAAACCAAAAAGGTATCTTTTCTCATTTTCATGCCAAATCCATTTCCCACTCCCTCCTCCCCCCTCCTCCTGCTCCCTCCACCTCCCCCACCCCCCATCCCACCCATAAACACTGTCTTAGTGATAAATTCTACCATTAGGTCATTGCCACTGCTCCTGAATCTTACTGCGTGTGGTTTACCCAAATAACTCCTTCTGCATATTGCTTAGAAATTTCTTTCAAATACCCCAGGTTATCATCTTAAATTTGGCCTTCTCCAAACCCGTGTGCATTCTTTAAAAAATTCTGCTCATGACTGCTTAGCTAGTATCTAAGAAGACATAGCTCTTTATCTCCTGAACTTTCACCACAGCTGCCTAGGATGCTCTATTTACAGTCGTACAGACGTTTTCTAGCCTGGTCCTCTAAATTCTTTCTACATCAAGACTCATAAAAATCATCATTTTGTTTTCCTTTGGGTGTCTTGGTTCTGCTGTGTGGCAGAAGTTGGCTGAAAGCCTTGGTGTAACTTAATTGTTCTTTCCTGGGCAGGCACAGCCCCGAGAAGCCTCATCCCTAAAGCCAGACTTGGAGGCTCTCTTACCCAAACCAGGAGATTGTCACACAAAGGGGAAGCTGGCTGGGCATTGGGGGCAGCTGGTTGAGCACAGTTCCTGCTACAGTCTTGGATGTCAGAAAACAAGGGACCTCAGAGAAACAGGGCAAGCAGTGGCATGTAGCAGCCACCTGAGAAGCTGAAGATAACAGCGCGCTCAAGGCCCTGGGTTCTGCCA